TCAAACCCGCCAGCCTGGGTGTATGTGGCTGGTGCCCTAGCCACTGAGCTACAAGGCACCACCTGCTCATGCTAGTTTTTAAACTTTTTTTTTAAATGGAGCCATGGTGGTGGTCTCAAAATCCTGGTCTCAAGTGATCCTCCCATCTGGGCCTCCCAAAATGCTAGGATTACAGTTGTGATGCACCATGTCTGGCTAGGTGGTTTTTAAAAATCCCTCCCTCTTCCTTTCCCAAAGACTACCAAAATTAGACAACAGAAAGGAAAATTGAATCTGCAGTGTCTCTGCAACCTGACATATTGCTCCACATTTTGACATTGATATTCTCATCTCCATGCCTTTGTTACTCTTTGCTCTTCAACCTACCCTGCATTTGGAGGTGATGGGGCAGCAGTTAAGGTAGAATAGAAAATTTTGTACTTGGAGTTGGAAGACTCCAGACCCAAACTCCCTGACCTTAGCTTTTTGTGTATGAGATGAGCTCCTGGCCACTGTACTACCTCCTTGTGATATATTATTGTTTTAGCAAAGACTCTCCTAATGTCTTAACCTCATTAAATGTTCTTAAGATCCAAACTACCTTTTGAAGACTAGCTGGGGTGCTATGGCCATCACTCAAGGGTATTGAAGGCTTGAGCTATAAATGAGAGAAGGGAGTGGTGGACTCAAGAGACAACAGAAGTAGAAGCAATATTGCTGGATATGGGCTTCAAAGTGGGGGAGGAGGAAGATTACAAGATGCCTTTGGATGAGGCTTGCAGACCAGGTGACTGAATGAATGTAGGACCACCGATTCTATGCCCATTTGTGAGGTGTAGAAGCTCTCTGTTGTTCCAAATAGAAACAGAGTTGGTCTATATCCATTTTGTTGTGTTTTGTTTGAGACAGAATCTCACATTTATCCAGCCCACTGGGTGTTTTTGCCGCTGCTGCCTGTCCTGCTTAGCAGCCGACTTGTCCTGGGGCCTGCAGTCCAGCCCTCCAACGGTCTGAGGGACAGTGAACTGGCCCCCTGTTTAAAAAGTTTGAGGACCCCTGGCTTACAGCAACCTTAAACTCTTGGGCTTGAATGATCCTCTTACCTCAACCTCCGGAGTAGATGAGACTACAGGAGTGTGCAACCACACCTGGCTAGTTTTTCTATTTTTAGTAGAGACGGAGTCTCACTCTTGCTCAGGCTGGTCTCAGAACTCGTGAGCTCAGGCAATCCACCCACCTCGGCCTCCCTGAGTGCTAGGATTATAGGCATGAGCCACCGCGCCTGGCCTATATCCATTTTTAAATAGTAATGACTGTTTGGGACTTGGCAAACTCACTGCCTATACTGGTGTGTTTATTTTGTTTTATCACACAGCATTCCAGCGTCTTTCCGTCTTCTCCTCCCTCTGGACTTTCTGATGAGCCTCAGTCTGCCTCTCCCTCGCCCAGCTACATGTGGTCCTCGAGTGCACCTCCCCGTTACTCTCCACCCTACTATCCACCTTTTGAAAAACCACCACCTTACAGTCCCTAAAGAGGAATACCCGCTGGCTATTGAGATTATTGTGGCTTTTGTATTTCTGCTTTAGTGGAAGTGTGTAGGGTACAAAATTTAAACTGTGATTCTTACGCATAAAGTTTTACAACGGCCTGCCAAGCTAGGGAAAGATAGGGATGAGGCTTATTCATTATCAGTGCAGGCAAGGGTGGACAGGCTGAATCCAGCACTTCCAAGGCTGGGGAGCCAGCCCAGCAAGAAGCTTGTCATGTTTGGACCTGCGTTACCCTATGCTCCACCTCTGTATTCAGCAGAAAAGTGGTTGCCATCTGTTTCACTTTATGTAAAGGAGTGCTGTCCTCAGGCCCTTGGCAAATTGCCACCCTAGCACCTTGTTTGAAGCACCTGGCTTACAGGCTATCTTTCCTTACCCTTAAAGTCGGTCCCTAAGAAAAATATCCTAGCTAATGGGGTTACACAGTAGTCTGATACAGAGAGTTCTGGCCAAGATTTTGTTTGCTTATGTCTGGATGTTGAAAAAAGCTGCCCATCTTATTCCTTCTAAGTATTGTAAAAATGGCTGTTGTGATCATTCAGCTCAGCTTTTGTTATTGGTACCTCCTTAAGGGAAAGTACAATATTCCTGCATCTTTATTGGAGAACAGGATTGTTCTGGAAGCACTGAAATACAGAACATGTGAGATCTCAGTAACACAGCTGATAACTTAGGAGACGGCAGTTATGTTATTACAAAATATATTTGCAACAGGAGATAAAAATCTTATGGTTGAAATTCAGTTTAAAAATGTTAGATTAGGTTCTTGGGTCATGATATGAATTGTTATTAATCTTTGTGACTATTTAATCTTTAAATATTGTGCTTCAACCCCAGCAAACCGCACGTATCCTGCGCCCTACCCAAAAAGAATCATCTGTATTTTTAATGCCACTGCTCTTAATTGGTCCTTTTTTCTGTTGAGACCAATCATGACAGCATTCAAGATTATGAAAGTATTACAATGCCGCTTCAAGTCTGCAAAACCTCATATGTAGCCAACTTGACAAATACTTAAGTGTTACGGTAGATTTAAAATCCATCTGGCACATTGTGGTAGGTATTTGTACAGTTCTTTTAATTATAGCTTTAAACCATCAAACTCAGTTTAAAACACTTTCGCACCCTACCTTCACTTCAGAATGAACACTTTCATTGTGATCTTACGTTAACCTGAGAATTGATTGCATTAAAGGAAGATTGATAATCCTACACTTATACAATGTAAAAATACAGGGGCTACAGGAGGGTACCTAATTAGACAGTTCTGCAAACAGAACATATACTGGAAAATTTTCCAGCCAATTACGCTACCTCCCAACTTGATGGGTTCGAGGTAGCGGACAAATGCTGGTGCTCCCATCTACCTTGTAGACACCCAGTCATCAAGAATCAAGGCACAACATGTGCACTCACTTACTGGTCACAGTAAACGTTTGCAAAATATTCAGTTTAACTTTCAGCATCATGGATGTTGTCTTATCCAGATTTCAAACCTGAAAAACTCTCTAATCCTTTTGAGTTATACAAAATTTTTTACAATTCTAAGCATATTAAAATTGTATTGGATTTCAAAAAGGGACTAATAACCAATTGACTTACTATAAAAATATCAACTTGTAATACTCAATTTTTTTTTGCCATTTACACTTTACCTCTTCCTTTAGTGAATGTGCATATTTAATTTTTAAAGGCACCATCACACAGTATATCACATTTCTTAAAGTGTAAGATTCTACGACTCATTTCTATGTATTTTTCTTACTTTACAGAATAACTTGAAACAGTATAGATTTTGTAACACTTAATTTGAGCAGCTTTTTTTTATCACATTGAATTATATAAAATGCATGTCACCTTAGAAAAATATTTGCTTTACTCTTTTGCAAAACATTTGCTGTAATGAAGGAAATTTGTATTTCCAATATAGACTGCATTTTGTAATATTTACTGCTTTATTCCTAATTCTGCTTTAAAGTATTGAACTGGGCATGAAACATTAAAATATTAACCCAGAACCTGTACAAACTGGATATTGCTTAAAATCTGTATCACTGCCATGTTGGAAACCCAGACCGCTTTTGTGATGTTTCAAATTAATAAAACCATCCTCCCTCCTTATCCCAGTTGCGTTTTCAATGTATCTACAGCAACTGACAGCAGCTGACTCACTTTTGACTATTTATGGTTCAAGATACAAGGGGATTAAGATTAACCAACGTATAAAACCTAATGGGAAATTTTGCCATGTCATCAGAAATACAGCTCCAGTCTTCTGCTATGAAAATTGAAAACAAAATAGAATATCAAAGCCTATATAATTTATGAAAGATAACCTTATAAAAAACACACCCCGAAATAAGAATTAAAACATTTTATTTTTGCCATAAGAAGCTCTACGAACTAATATCAAGCAATGGTTAATGAAAAGTAGAATGTTAAAGTCATGACAAGGAAGATTGTACAAGTATGAACATTACAGTATTAGAAGAAGTGAACAAGGTTTTTCATGATTGACAGACGGCAGAAAGCCAGTGCTATTGAATTAACATTTAATTCTTTAGAACATACACACCTTGACAATACAAAATACCTTTATAAATGTTTACTGTTTGTCTTTTTTGTACAATGGAAAAAAAAATGTGGCACCATTCCTTCACAGTGATTTCATGTGGGAGATCATTACCACCAAAATCATAATTATCATTTAGAGTATATTTTAAAGTTAGTTTTGCAAGGTTCCTATGGCATTTTCAAATCTTTGCTTAGTTTGAACACTGCATTTTGTCATCTTTTAACAAATAACCATTTAAAATAGTTCCTATCCAGAATATTTACAGGTAATTTAGCTTAAGAGCAAATTCGAAGCCAACTTGAAAGAAAAAAGGAAGTTAATTGGCCAGAAAGCTAAGTATAAAACAGAAAAACCCTGTGGTAAATTTTAAACAGCATCTTGCTATAGATTTCCAATCCAATAAATACCAGGAATGAAGAGTTTTCAGCCCCAAGGAATATTTCACATGAACTCTAAACTTTGGATATGGAAACTTCTAGAAAAACTGAAGACCCTGAGGTACATGCAAGTAAGAGTCTTTTGGCAAAAATACAATTTAATTTTCCAGTTTTCCTCCTCCCATAAACTCCAGAAAATACCTTTAGTAGGCACAAAGTTCAAATTTCATATTCAGAATTCAGAGCGCAGCAGCGGCAAACAATTATAACCGTATTATTCAGAATGATAGTTTTCCATTATAGAATTAATTCCTGGTTTGTCATAACAGACTTGTAGAAACTACCAAGTTTTTTTATGACTAACTAATTTATCTAGCAGTTGAGTCTGAAAAATCTGGAAGCTCTGCTGGCATCAGTATTCACATTGGTAGAATTATAGCTAACTGGTAAAACAGCATTAAGGAATCTCAAATTTCCATTGAGAACATTTCAGAGTGCACCTTACAGTCAAAGAGTAACACTATCAATATCTACACAGAAAGGAAACAGATATGGCGATTTCAGAGATCAGAGTCTTAAGTTTCAGGTAATTTCAAATTTCCCAAGGGTTAGTTTACAAAATGGTTTGAAGGTCTAGACTTACAGAAAACACACAAATGCTCATCACTCGACCCCTTGGTAAGCAAAGGATATTATTTTTCTTTCTCATTGTATTATTGCATGTACTGATGCCTGATACCCTCAGCTACCAACTTTAGAGATACTGAAACCATTATCTTCAAATCTAGCTTACCATCAGAAGAATGATGCATATATGAGAAATTATGATTAAAGCTTTAAGTTCAAGGTCAAGAAATAGACTATTTTTTAAAATACATGGTTAAGGAGAAAGAAAATATCTATGCTGAACTAAGAAATACTTAAGCAAAGTTACAAATGACTAATAACTATGCACAACAATCTTTTCCAGTATCTATTAACTTTTTTCCTTTGCAAAAAAATCATCTACAGAAGTTCCACAATTCTGTTATAAATGCTAGGCTATATATTTTTTGTTCCAACTCCATTCCTTTTAGTACTAGCACTTCAGTAATTTTTAACTTTATTTTCTAAATGTTTAAATATGTGTAATTTTATAAGGAAGAAAGGTGATATTTCTTGTTGTCAAGATAAACGGGAAATGACAAGCCTATATAACATTCCAGATGTAGTTTCTGACTGCTATAATATTGCAGCAATTTGCAGATGGAATAAAACTTATTTTAGAATAGGTACAAACCTAAAAGATTCTGTTGAAAGTACTAAATCACCAATTCAACTATTTAAAATAAAGACTTCCTCTTGGAGATTCTAAGTAATATGAACATTAAAAAATATATGCCAATAGCCTCCCACCTAAAATATATAGAAGTCTCATCTATGGATTCTATCATTTACAAAGATTTATACATAATTAAAAATTCATTTGGTGGCTTTTAGATCAAAACTTGAAAAAAAAATTGGGGAATATTTTTAACCATAGCAAAAAGGAAATCTCCATTCAATTCCATCCTCTATCATGTAAGAGTACAGAAATAAAAATAAGTGCAGCAGAACTTTTTGTCTCCTCCTGTCTGCATTGATTTGTTTTTCTACCATTTTGCCAGCAGAGACCACATTACGAAGGTATACAGTGGTCTAGGTACCAAAGTCTTTTAGGCTATGGCAATACAAACAAGGATTAATCCTAAGCAGCTACATCTAATTTATTCTTCAGATGAGAGACTTGTCTGCATGGCTGTTTTTATGGGAGGGTGGGGGGCGGCAATTATTCACCTGGACTAGCAGAATACCCAACCGAGCAGAAACTTATTCTAAAATTTTCCAGAACAACTTTAGAAGTTCTCGTGTACTTTTTATGCCATATACAAGATACAACACACATTTACAGTCTCAATGTTTAAAAAATTGAGAATTCAGCAGTAAAGTGCTAACGTGGAAGGGGAAAGTTGTAAGATGTACTAAGGTATGCTAATAACTCCAGTTATTTTCAAAGAACATTCAGACTGCTTCAAATTCTATTCAGAAAACTACCTCTCCAAGCTTATTTTTGTTTGCATCTTAAATGAGCTGAAAGCTAACTATATACACAAATACTTGGGGCGACCTCTTAGTCTCTACTCAAACTTTCAGAAAAATTTGCTTCTAAATATTATCAACAAATAATCCCACTAGACTACCTTCGGATAATGTGGCAGATCAAATTTTGTTTGCACCTTGTTTTACAGGTCTTTTCAAACCCATCCCTTAATCCAAACCAAAACTTTCTGGTATTTCAAAGTTTAGTAAGATTCTGGTATTATAAATTCAAACTCAGTACTGCCATCTGTTACATTTTGTTTAAAAATTGAATCATTTTCCTGCTGAATAAAAATATCTTCCCAGGTCATTGGCTTGTTCTGAGGAGTAGATGTGGTGGTCCCTACTGGAGGTTCTTTTCCAGCATCAACCTTATACCCAATACCATCATCCTTCATTACAGACACAGTGCTTGACCTATCAGAAAGATATGCATATTGTCTGATCTGTAAAGACCTGCATGGATGTAAACGATAAAGCTTCGAGTCTCCAGAAGGATCTTGACTATGAACTGACTTTATATGTGAAGACATAAACTGATAGTTGATGAAAGACTTGCCACAGGCCAAACACTGATACCTTCGCTCCCCTGTGTGATGAATTTCATGCTTTGTGCGATATTCTGCAAGAGGAAATACCTTCTCACAGTACCGGCATGGATACTTCTTTTCCCAAGAATGAATGTTAAAATGTCTCCGCAAGCTTGTCAGACAGACATACGACCTTTTGCATACAATACAGATATAATAGACCCTTCCATCTACTATTAACTCATAGTGATCATCATGTTTTACTTTCATACGTTTGTTTGCCGAATCACTGCCAGATGTTTTTGGTGTCTCATTTTCATGTCTGGCCTCCCCTTCATCAGGGTCATCTTTGACAGGGATCACTATGTCATAAGTATCTTCACCAATATTTGCATAAACCTTGCAACCAGTCGACAAGCCTTCAATTTCAGTAGCTGTATCTAAAGTAATGATCTTCTGGCCCTCTGTCAAGTGTTTTGATCCTAAACCTGGATCATTAGTGTTTCTAGTAATTATATCTGAAATTTTTAAAGAATTGGAAACTGGTTCTTGCACAAGTGTAGGAATCTGCATCTTCTGTATTAATGATCCATTAAAACTGGTATTTTGAGAGGTATCAGCCTGTGGAACCAAAGATGTATTACTGACTGCTGAGTCTGGACTGGAGCTAATAGTGTCATCATCATCATCTATAATTTCCTCCTCCTCCTCTTCACTGGCCTTGTTTCCTGTTAAAATAGCACTGTTTGGTCTCTGCTGATTCTGCACAAGTAAATTGATTGAAGAGGACATATGATTTGGAGGTGAAGAACTGACTTTTGGTGGTGGTGTAAGTGGTGTCTGATTTAATAAAATAATGTTGGGAGTCAGATGTGGTGGAGCCGAAGATACCAGCAATTTTTCACTTCCTTGTGTTTGGCTCAGAGTCGCCTGATTCACAGGAGTAGGAAGTTTCTGAGTAGGTGTGATATTTTTTAAAGGGGGAGAATTATTGCTAGTGCAAGGTGCAACATCTGAAATATCAACAGGGCCTGGGTTAAGCTGGACTTGTGCCACTGCACTGTTACTTGGCAAAGTCTCCTTTGCAGGCAGAATCTCAGAGCAGAAAATGACATCATCATCATCATCATCAGAATCGGTAACAATGATCTTTTTCATTTCATAATCTTCAGCACATAATGAAAAAGACTCTGTTATAATAGGCATTATAGTAGCCCCATTATCTTGGGCTTCATCTTTTGATTTTTCTATTAAAAGGTTCTTGTCACTAGAACCAGGAGGTAAGGTTTCAGCATTACCATCCTGAGCTGTACCTGAGATGCTTTTAACCTGGGACAATGGAACACCAAGCTCTGCTATAAATTTCACTCCTAATAACTGCCCTGATTTAATTAACTCATCAAGCAAATCTGATCTAACACGAACAATTTTAGAACTATAGATATAATTGAGAATTTCTGCAAAGATCTCTGCTCTTATAAAGCTCAGTTCAACAACTTGCCCGGCAACTGAGAA